CGCATGCGCGCGCATTGTTTGCCTCTCTCCTTTCCCCGCGCGCATCGTAGTTCTGATGGCATTTTTTTGTCCCCCATAAGTGTGTTCGTACTCGTCAAAAAACATATAGTCTCTGAACTCAGTTTTGTCGATAAACATCATTACCAAAGCCAAATTTTTCAGCATTGTATGAAGTGGTAATATTCACACTGAAAAACAGCCCATACTATTCACCAAATTGATCAACTTGGCTTATTTGGCATATTGGATTTATTTGGCATGCATATTGTATAGAGCATAGTACAAATCGCTTATTTATTATCGCGATTTTTTTTTGTTGGGGGGTGAGTGTGCCTACAATACTAATATAGATCCGAAATTGTTCGCAAATGGATAAGTGTTGAATATATGTTATAGATAATATTCGAACTGAGTTCGCCAGCAAAACATTCAATTTTCTGATCGAAATTGTGATTTTACCTATTTTTAATATTAAACTATCATTTAATTTTCTCCAGATCATATTTCTCGGTATTATTTGACGTTAAAATGGGTAACAAATGCAGTAGCATACAATGGCTTTCGAAAGCAGAGATGTCAAACTTAGATGTGACGAAAAATCAATGTCAATTGGCTGTGGTAGCTGATCCGTCGCATGAAGCATCTGAACTATTCACATTGAATATTGATTGCTTAGAAGAGATTTTTGAATGGCTATCAACTAAGGAGTTATTCGCACTTCGACAAACATGCAAGCGAATGAAACGAATTATCGATTTTTACATTCGAGCCTATTATCCTACAATCGGTAGATTCCGATTGTATAATAGCTCTTATGAGATATTTCAAAATATGGATGCCGATTCAATTAAATTGATAAATCGAATTGTGATTAACTTAAGAAAAGATAAACCACTTGATATTAAAAAATTAAAAAATGTTCTAAACAATGTTGAAGTGCTTATAGTAGAACCATTTTCGTTGAAGTTTGATATTTACAAGAATTTGCTAAAATATTGTAAAAATATAAAATCTCTTCGGATATGTAGTTGCGATGCAACTGGTGATAAATGGTTGCATAAGCAATATCCAACACTTGAACACGTTTATTTTTATTACTATTTTAAACGACGTCATCTTGTACTTAAACGATTCAGATTTAGACGCATATATTGTTGTTGTATTTATATTCATAAAAATTGTTCACATCATTTTCGTACAGACTATTCAAAATTGTTCAAAACATCAACAATTGTTAAGTTCTTTTGCGCAAATCCACAAATTCATACATTGTCAACATGTTCAAAAATTTTTGAAGTATATGCAAATGCATTGTTCAAAGCTGATGTTAAATTTAAACAATTAAATATATTTATAACATATTTGGAAGATTTTAATCATAATTTTTATAAAGAACTTTACGATGAAGGATTTTATGAGCGATTATATTTATTTGGTTCTTTCTGGAACGAGGACATTGTTCCAAATAATCTTATGAATATTGGATTAGAAAAATTTTCTATTGAAAATTTAAATTTCAAATTACCATTATTGCTAAATTTGAAAGAAATACAATGTTCTGACTGTCATGATCTAAATTTCTTTGAAAATGTTTGGGATGTCGTGGAGCGTCTCAGTTATGCTGGAAAAAGTGTTGATATTATATTTATTCTTCGAAATTTTCGAAAATTGAAGCACTTCAGAGTAAAATTATCTAAAACTAACATCATCGATTTGTCAGCACTCAACAAAGAACGAGAAACATTGATTGGAGCATACAAAACAACAATTTATGTTGGAGAAGATTCTTATTTGGCTACAAAATTTGCATTATCAAAAATAGATTATAGTTTGATTGAACTAAAACGGGATAGGTTATATGATTTGATACCTTATAAGAATAATGAGTACTATTAAAAATCTGGAATAAATATAAACTTTTTTTAATAGCAAAAATCAAACAAGATGCAAAAAAAGAGTTGATGACAATGAAGAATGTTTTTTTTTTATGGAAAATACCTTACTACATCATTGAAATCCCGTCATGTTGCTCGTGATATGAGCATATTATCAAAATACAAATAAATGTGATTTTTGTGTCAAATATAAAAAAAAATATAATACAAAAATAACAACATCATTCACCAGTGTTACTCTCGTTTATTACTTAAAACATTCGTCGTATGTGTTTTTTAAATTCACGATTGCTCTCTTATGCGAAAGAAGTAGGAGCCAAAACAAAGGAAGAAGACTATTTATTCCCTTATTACCGCCACTAGTGTTTTGTTGGTCATTGCAAAACTGTCTGTGTGTCACGCAAACAATAATATATAAACCAAAGAGAAGTTGTTTTCTTCTCTCACTATTTGCTTTAAAAAAAGAAGACATTTGAAATCGAAAATTATGTCAATCAACAAGAGTAAATCGTTGAGTGTAATGACAAAAAAAAATTATACATTGCAAGTATGGAAACTATAACGATAAGCTGTTTTCAATTATTTTCCATTCTTATAAAGAGTGTGTGTGTGTGTGAGAAGGAGAGAGAGAGCGAGAGAGAGCCAGAGAGAGAGAGAGAGAGCGAGAGAGAGAGCATGGCCGGTGCGTTCTGAAAGGAACGGTTCATATGGATGATGGAGAGAGCGTGTGTGAGAATCTCTTTGTTTTGTTTGTTTTTTTTTGTTTTTTTTTTTCAAATACTTTTTTTTCAGCTTGGGTATTGTTTGCTTTGTTTATTTATTATCTCATTGGTATGTATGTATATTTCGTCCATGTAAATATGGTAACAGTGTGAGGGTTATTCGTTTTTTTTGGCAATGGCATAGGAGAGAGAGAAAGAGAGAGAGAAAGAGAGAGAGAGAGAGAGCGTGGCCGCTTATCTCTTTCCCACGGTGCGCACTCATTTCCCCGCATGCATATTTTCCACATGCCTTGATAATCTTTTATCCTTTTCTCACTATTTTCAATCGTTGCACATTTTGTTTAAAAATATTCTCATCAATATTTCCATCAGTTATTCGAAGAACAACTTCGAGACGTCCTTTAATTAGTGCCAAAATTGAATTGTAAACCGATAAAACCATATCCATTTCAACAATCCATATTTCAAGCATATTCAAATTTTTGCTGTATTCCAAAATATTCATTATTTCTGATACGCTAATCGTAAAACAGTTGAATTTAATCTGTTTCAATGTAGGTGATGCTTTGACTAATTCAAGGATTGTATTAAAAGAAACATAATCAAAACACCACACATCTAATACTTTGAGCTCATCCAATTGAAGTAATGCGGGTAGAGTTTGGTCAAAATTATGAAAACCGCAAAGTCGTAGCGTCTCAATTGTGGGTATGTTCGTAACAATCCATAGGTGTAACGAATAAATAATAAGTAATAAAAGATTTTATTACTTATTCATTTTATGTGATTATTCATTTATTCGTTATTCGTTCTTACTCGCGAATAAGAACGAATAATTATTCATTTATTCATGCAAGAAACGAATAAGAAATGTAATAAAAATTGAATAATATATGAAACGAATAAGAAGTGAATAAGAAACGAATAAGAAAACGAATGAAAATTGAAAAAGAAGTTGTAAGAAGTAATAACTATTACAACTTATTCACGAATAAATGAATAATTATTCGTTCTTATTCGCGAATAAGAACGAATAACGAATAAATGAATAAATATGACAAAAGTAATAAGTGAATAAAAAAACGAATAATTATTACAAAAATTAACACCTATGTAACAATCGAATCAATTGAAGTAACTGCTAGAATGAACAGTTTAAAATCAACAACAATTGCTAGATGTCTCAATTGTTGAAATTGTTTAAAATGCATCACTATTTCATTGTATTCATGTGTGGCCAAGGCTTTGTAATCAATTCTCAAATCCACAAGATTTGGTAAACGATCGCTGATACTATTGATAGCTGAAAATGAGAGATTTTGAATGCGAAAAATTAAAAGCGTTTCTATTTGTGGATTAAGCATGATGAATGCATTGAACGCCGCGTCATTTAGATTATCAACTTTATCAAAATGAGCATATTTCAATTTTGGGAATTTTTTCATGATACATTGCAAATCTGTCTGGACCTTTACGCCAGTCAAATCTATCCATTCCAAATTTTCAGGTAATTCAACATTATCCATTGAAATAGAAGAAATGTGAATGTCTTTTAAGGTTTTGAAATGCGATAACTTATTAAAATTGCTCTTAGTATTTTCATGGCCTTCAATATACATGTAAAATAATGTTTCGCCACAATTTTTTGCGATCATCTCTATTGTACCATCTTCAAAATCAGAAATTAATTCCATGTACAGGATCAAATGACCGAAGATTTTTAGAAAATTTGATGCGTGCTTCAAAGGGAATGCAGTGTAGCGGCAAACTGATTTATTTTCAAGTGACAAAGACAACTCTTTGAAATTCCGTGGGTAACATTGTAGTGCATTCGCTTGAAAGTCACGACACGTTTCGGCTGCGCTTAAGAAATCACTTGGATCTGTCAATTTTCGCAGAATTTCTTGAATACAATCATCATTGAGTGCATTTAAAATATGCTTTGGAGAATCTTGGGCCGGCACATAGTTCCATTCATAGAGCAAACGCTGAATTGGCATACGATGTGTCTCCGATACAGCAATGAATTCCGAAATGTTTGTAACACGTGATAGTTTATCGACTATATTCCGCGATGTCTCACCCGAATGGAAACTTTTAACTGCATTTCGTACGAAATCGTCCCCTATGACTGCTAATTTGAAATCTTTGAAGCTACTTTCACTTGTAATTTGCCGACTTCGTTTCCTCCCGTATATTTTTGCGGCGACATACTCGAGGATGAAAAATGACAAAAACAGTAACATTTCTGAACTTAAAATATATACAAGCAGTGAATTTTAGATGTTTTCAATATAAACGCACAAACAAAACTAATTTACTCAAATTATTCGTCAGTTTACATATTTTCAAAAAAGAATTGTCAGTCATGTGACGCTCATTAGGATGCCTAATTACATTTTTGACACATCTCTATATCTGCTGCACACAACTTTCGTGATTCGGGCAACAGCTTCGGTTTCGGGCAACAGTGGGTGCCACATGTATAGTATAATTTGGAATATACTATTCGTTATTTTGCACATTTATTGAATCAGATCAAGTCAATTGATTTACTTTTAAATTTTTGCGAAATAACGCATAAATGATTTGATGTTCGTGAACATCAATATTGGTGACAAGCAAGTTTCACTTTTTTTCCACTATGAAGTACACGGGCGCTGCGTGCAAGCTTCTTTATGTCACGTGTATGGTTCGAAAAGCCAACCGATCACTGATCCTATTCCAACCAATAATGATAACACCCAAGATGTATAGCCTTTACTTTCATTGAATTCGCTCAACAATTCAACGTTATTGATTAGATTCTGTCGATCATTTATCAATTATCAAATCAGATTAAATTTCAATATCGATGGCTATGCTGAATAGTCAAAGTCTGAAACACAAATGAGATTCTTTTTCAAAATCAAAACAAAAAGGTTCGAGCGAAAAATTTCATTTTTGTTTGAAAAATCGATATCTCTCTTGTTCACAAAAGATTGGCTATTGCCGCACACTTGATTGCTTTTCCAAAATTGAAAAAAAAATTTAATTTCTTTAAGTAAGGAAAAATCCTATGAAAATTGTGGAAAATAAAATATGGAATTTGTTATATACAAATCAATTCAGTTCATTTTTTCATTATTAACTTTTTTTTATCCACAGCAAAATACAATAAATACTTAATTATGTCGCTATAACATTTTCTATGTGATCAACTCCACATCGTAATTGCCGCTTCTCAATGTACTTTTGCAATTGTGGCAATGCAAATAAAATCAAACCACTAAAGGCGATCATGGCACCAGCAAACCAAAATGCAGGATTATATGAACCGTATTTATTGTGAAGAAGGCCGGCTATAGGATGACCCACAAACGTTGCTTTTGAAATAAAAACGGAATAAAATCTGATTTTTCTTTTCAAAATGAATTGTTTTCAATTCACCTATGCCTTCGAATAACAGCAACAACCCGAAGGCACTTTCGAGTCTCTTCAATCCAAACAAATCGCACAGAATCACACTACGTAATGTAACATACGCACTGATTGTTATTCCATACACTGATAAACAAATAGCAAACTCTGAAAATTGATTGCAAGCCACGACACCCGCACTTCCTGTGAAGATAAAATCGTTTTTTTTATTCGTTTCAGCATATAATTGCAATATCTTACCAATACCGCAGATCACGAGGCTGAAATTGAACACCCAAAGTCGGTTCACAAATGGTTTGTCAGATATGTAACCGACGATGATTCGACCCAAAGTATTGACAATTCCATAGATCAACAATATTGTTGAACCTGCTGACTTCATTCCCATTTCTTCCAAATGTTGTGGAATGCAAAAAATTGGAATATAAAAAGCAATGCTTGTACAACAATTTGACACTAAAAACACGACAAAGATTGGATCTTTAAGAAGGCCAAAATTCATTAATTCAATGGTGCTCTTCACTAGGGGGAAAGATCAATTTTTTTTCCTCTGAATAAGCCTCAATATAAAAAATAATGATAATTTGTAACGATTCCATGACCTTTTACAAATATTTAACCGATATTTGAATATTTCGCCGATATACCAATATTTCGTACTAAAATTGGTAGAGATATTTAGGTGAAGCGCACTTAAGCTATTGCTCAAGTATCGCGTACTTAGGCCATTGCTCGAGTACCGCGTACTTAAGTACTTATTTATCAGCAAACTTATCATGTCATTTCTAGTGTCATTTATTTCTAGACCAGTACTACGGCAATTAAGTACTATCTTAAGTACGCAGCACTTAAACTTTATCAAGTGTCATGAACTAAACATAATTTCGTAGGGTAATTCATATGTGATTGTTCATAGCTAGGTTTATAGAAAATAGTAATTAAAAGTAAATGTAGATTCTGGTTTCTATTAATTTTTTATTTCATGCATAATCAGTTTTCAAAGATTCGTTTGATATAAGAAGCAGATACAGGTAGAAGTATAGCGTTAGGTACAGCGCTTTAACCAAAAGTACGTGGCACTTTAACGTGAATTTAAACGAATTCGCTGATGTATTGTTATTTTTCAAAAATAAGCGTTTATCTGCATATTGGCAGATATCGGCGTACATCGGTCTCTATTGTTCTATATTTTTATGTTGAGTTCACATTAAATGTACACGATTGACACGAATATTCAATTTATTTGACCGATTCACACCAATATACCAATGAATAACGATGAATAGCCAATAACATAGATAATAGCGTACGACCAATTGATCTTTCCCCCTAGGCTCTTCAATTCATGAGCCGAAATACATCCGCAATAAGTTTTTGATGATTTTTTTTCCTGCAGACCAAATTGAAATTAACAAACACTTGTGATCATCATCTTCGAATCACAAGACCTTGCGTGAATTTTTAACAATTAGACAAATTACCTCATTGTCATTTTTTCGCCGAAGTGAACCATATTTGTCCACCTCCATTGTGAACTCACTTTGCGTCTTTTGAGTTGAAAGGCTGCTGAGTGATCCCTAAATTTCAAAATCATTACATAAATTTAAGCTTCTGAGAATTTGGATTAAAGCTATGTATGTCTTTCCAATGCAACTGTCCCATTATTATTAATGGACATTATTCCACTGTTCCATTCTTTATGATAATCCTTGGGAATTTTCGTGTCGATATTGATCGATGGTTGACTTAGCGAATATCGTATGTTGGTTTGATCTGGCTTCTCACTACTCCGATTGCATTTCGTTTTCCTTATGTCAAGCGTTAAATTTTCTCTTTTACGTTTCTTTGACTGCTTATCCTCCGTAGTTGCGCTCATGTTTTCATTTGGGAAAGTATCGATTTGAACGATTCCGGAAAGTATCAAGCAATTATAATCCCATCCATATTCTCTGATGAACATTTCAATTAACAAGGCAAAGGCCGAAGTGCCAACGCCGGTTCCACTAACTGCCATGCCGGTTGCCAATGAACGATTCTTTTCGAAATATGTTGTTACAATAACAATAGCCTGCAGAATGCAATTACATATTGTACATTTCACTACAAATAATGGAATAGGAATCAATGCTTACAGGTACAAATACCAAAGCCAAAGCAGTACCAAAACCAACTCCTTTAAGAAAACGAGATGTGGATATGAAATCGTTATGATATACACTCTGACTTTAGAGAAAAAAATGCTCAAAAATTGAATTGAAATTAAATTCTTCTCACCCACAGTTACGATGAGTGTTGGTACGTTTTTTGCGAAGAAGCTTACAAAAAGACTAACGGCTGCTAATATCGAACCGGTGATTGTTACGGTGCGGCAACCTTTTTTTTCACGAGAAGTGATGCAATCGGACCTGTTCCAATGAAATTATTTACGACTTTTTTTTCTAACTCGGATTAAATAAATGAAGGTTTCCTAGGAAATACCTGCACACAATCTCATACCAGATGCAACTGATGGGATCAAAGATGTAAGTGTTTCTGTCTCCTTTAATTCACTGCGTATTTTCTCTTCAAATATACCCATCGAATTTAATATTCCATCGGCTGAAACGGATAATATAACAACATAAAGAGCGATAATACTTAGATTGCTTTCATTTAAATCAACGATGCAGATGATCATTCATCTTGTTTAAAAAATTATTTAATTTCAAAAAACAAGAAAGTGATTCATTTCATGAACACATTTGTGTGCTTTTGATAACACATTGTGGCCATATTATCTGCCATTTTTATGAATTAAAATTCCGAAAATTTTATAACATTACGATTTAAAAAAAAACTCCAATATTGAATTTTCAATGCAAACTTTATCCATTTCAAGGATGGCTTCGATAAGGCAACAACAAAATAACCGGATTCAGGTTATAAACCACGAATGACTTACCTATCATGTCAATTGAAAATGATCCACCAACGACAATCCATCCGTAGCCACCGTCTGGTGGTGCAAACTTCTCCACCGGATTATTTCCGTCGACAGTTTCATTTAGTTTTTGCATTGAAAACTCATTCACATTGCTTTTTCTACGGTTATTTTCATTTGGTTTGCCTTTCAATGAATCTTCGTCTGCCATTTTTTAAAATATTTTCTGATTACTTTTCCAATATGCGCTAAAATAGTGAAGCTTCTTTTGAAAACACTTGATATTCAGCATCCGTATTAATTTCTCTGTTTTTTTTTTTCTTCTAATTCACAGGACTTCACGCAGTAGAAAAACAGAGGAAAAACTAAATCACACTCAATGAAGCAGCGGACTTGTCGGCACACTCCTGGATTAAGCATTTCACTTGCTTTGGCGATTCGTGAGTTGCCGAAGCATCATATATGCAGTGCACTCGATATTTAACGTGAAAACCTATATTCGGTACATCGAAGTTGGCCGAGGTATGATTTCGTTTGCGCGTCGCGTAAGCAATTCACTTGCGATATAACGTGAATCCCTATATACTATATATCGCAAGTGAATTGCTTACGCGCTACGCGCAAACGAAATCATACCTCGGCCAACTTCGATGTACCGCATATAGGTTTTCACGTTAAATATCAAGTGCACTGCATATATGATGCTTCGACAACTCACGAATCGCCAAAGCAAGTGAAATGCTGAATCCACGAGTATGCCGACAAGTCCGCTGCTTCATTGAGCATAAGAGAAAACGTCGATGTTGTGCAATCTGTTCATGCAAAATTTCATTTGATTTTTGGATGAATTACAATTCACGGATCATACAAAATTGCAAACAACTGCAGCAAAGACTACTTGAATGAAATGTGCACTGATGTTGGATATGACTTTTTTTTAAACGTGTTTCACAATGAAACTGAAAACCGCAAGTGAGATTATTAGCCTTCCAAGCCACAGCAAAGCCATCTGATTGTACTTGTATGATGTAATGAAATGGTGATATTTCTTACATGTGACTGAACATTTGCAAAATATTTCTGATAAGGACTTCAGAATATATAAGCATTACCGCTTACTTCATCATTGACCGCTTAATCTTCATAAAATGCTGCCTAAGCGAAACTAAGCTGCAAAAGTCAATTCCGTTTGCGATAGTGCAGAAAATAAATCATTCTTCAAAATCAAACTTTCATTAATCATCAACCAAGTTCATAATCTTTCCAATATTTCAAGTTGAAATGTTCAAATTATTTGTGGTTTGACACATGAACTGCTGAAAATATTCGTTGGACGTTGCTACGTTTTTTTCGAAATACGATTCTTGAAAAAGTTTGTTTGCAAAAGCGGGACATCAAATATGAAAAGCGGGACATCATACAAGTATGATGTCCCGCTTTTGCGTACCAACTTTTTGAAGAATCGTATTTCGAAAAAACGTAGCAACGTCCAACGAATATTCTCAGCAGTTCACATGTGCTGTTGAAAATAAAAATGGGAATACAGAAGTGTTTTAATTGAAGCGCAACATGAAATTTGTTTCTTAAAAACGTTACATGAATTGTCGCTTCAATAAAAGCGTAACACGAAAAATGTGAATTTCGAATGTGGTTTTTTGTGTTTTTTCGCGAGAGATAACGAACTGATATCTTCAACAATCAAATCCTAAAACGTGAACTGGACTAACTAATTATCTCTTATCATTTTCTCTTCTCTTTCGCGAAAAAAACACAAAAAAACTACATTCAAAATTCAAATTTTTCGTGTTACGCTTCTATAGAAGTGATGATTCATGTAACGTTTTCTAAGAAACAAATTTCATGCTTCGCTTCAGTTCAAACACTCCTGTATTCCCATTTTTATTCTCACCGACACATAATATGTAATAAAATGTTCGCGTAAAATATCATAAAAACCGTCAACTCGTTAAAATTCTTACGCAATTGAATCTCAACTGCATGGAATTCATACATAAATACAATACTATTGGCGATGGTTATCAAATCTTACTCCGAAATTCCCATGACGTATTTCGCTGGAAATAAAACAACGGCGCGTATTGTTGTAAATGATTAAAATCAGACAAATGTATTAATGTCTTATATACAGAATACATAATGAAAATAGTAAATAGTTTCGTTTAAAAAGAGATTGGTTGGACCAGATACAAAAGTTTTACAAACAATTTTTTTTTTTTGTTATCTATTCGATATTATTACCCTTCACTGTGGCCAGCAGCTTTGCTCGATCTGGTCATTGAAAATAAGTGTGAATTTCAAATGTAAGAAGACTTAAAGTATACGAAATGTGTGTCCGATTGGGTAACTGAATTCAACTACAATAATATAGTAATTAACTTGAGATGAAGGATTTGGTTTATTTTCTGTTCATCGATTTTGTATAGTGAATCGATGTGTCGTGACATTTTATGACTAATTTCTATCGTCGAAAAGTAGGTGTTCCATATAGCCTAATGTAGAGTTGCACCGAATTACTAGATTACATTTAAAATAATTTAGACCATTGAAAAATGTGTGCCGTGAATAGTGTATCCCAAATGAATGATACAAACACACCGTCACTGTTAACAACAAATCGACCAACTTGGAATGGTCAAGCTGGTACACCGTCTCAAGCTGCACTTTTGCTTCATCCATACAATCCGTTTATGAGGAGAAAAAACTCCATTCTTCTGTTTCCGTTAACTATTTGATATATTGTGTGGACAGATAGTTTTGTATCGACAATAGAGCTTATTAAGTTCACCTGCACGCCGATAAGTTGCAATCATATTGGGCCTACGATCATGTACAATTGTATCATGAAAAATGCGTCGAAATCAATATTATTTGCTTTTTATCTTTGTACCAAAGTTATTTATTCATCAATTTTTTTTCTTCTCCTAAACCGCTCAATGTAAATGTGAAAAAAAAAATGAACCTGTACTGAAACTCGCAAAACGATGCACTTAAACTTGATATCATGACACAAATGCTCGCGAACGATCATTTAATAATCAATATAAGAAAATTAAAAAAAAAACTGGTCAATGGATTTGATGAGGGCGGGGCAAAAGTCTGTCTCTACTCATATTCTGAAGGAAGTATAGTGATTTTGGTTTCGTTTTGCATTTTTACACAAATATTTTCCGATTACAGTCTTTATCCAAATTAAGCTTGTCGCCTACAATCCCTACAAGCATCAAAAGAAATGATTCAAACGGTAACGATGCTTGCAATATTCAAATAGAAATCAGAAAATAAGTTTCCATTCGTTTTGGCGTTTTTGTGAATTGTTTTCTTTTCTCTCTTCACTTTAATTTTGTACTTGGAAAAAAAAATGTCCTCCATTCGAATCGATTGTTAAAACTATGATGCTATCACGCTCTCTTCTCGGTCGCTCCGCAACTCCCTCTGCGCATAGTACCGTTGCATCGACGGGATGAAGAATAAAATCAGTCCAGATAACGCAATCATTGCACCGGCAAACACGAAACCGGGCGTATACGAATGTGATTGATCGTAGAGAAACCCAACGATAGGTGGACCGACGAATGTAGCTTTTGAATTTAAAAAAAAACACAAAAAATTAATTACAATCTTATGGAATACATCAATCGATGAAAACATACCTATTCCTTGGAACAACAATAGTAAACCAAAGGCATTCGTTAGCTTATCGAGGCCCAGTAAATCGACTAATATAACCGAAGTTAGACCGACGTAAGCGCCAATCGTGAATCCAAATACAGCCGAGTAAATAATCAATGACCAAAAATCTATGCAGAGAGTCGAAGCGGCAGTCGCTGTGGAAATTAAAATGAAATGAACATGATTAGATCTCCCATCGAAATCAGCAATACATAGAAATATAAACAAAATCGCATATCTTACCGACACCGCAAATGACAAGGCAACAATTGTACACCCACAATCTATTAACCCACGATTTATCGGATATATAGCCCAAAATGAGACGGCCCAAAGTGTTTGCAATACCAATGGCAGCCAGCAACCAGCTTCCATCTTCCGATGTCATTCCCAGCACTTTCGCTTGGTCGGCTAAGCAAAAATATGGGACATAGAAACCGAGGCTGGTAGCAAAATTTGACACGGTGAACAGAACGAAAATTGGATCTTTTAGGAGGTTAAAGTTCATCATTTCGATAAAACTCTCGCGTGTATCAGCCGGGATACATCCACAGCATACATAATCCGAACAAAGTTCCTGCACGAAAAAAAGAAACAATGATTTGTTGTTTGAAAGGATATTTTGTATGGGGTGCCAAACTCATTTAAACTCTCACCTCATTTTCGTTAACACGCCGAAGTGAACCGTATCTATCTGGTACGTCGGTTGGCAACTCGCTATGTGACCTATAATTAGGAATGTTGTAAAGTGATCCCTGCAAAAGAAAACAAACAGTACAGTCATTAGCATGATATTTCGAGAGAGTGAGAGAGATGGAAGAGGCAAAACAACGATTGGACAAAGCTCATTTGATACTGCCAATTTGAAATCAAATTTGATTTCAAACAAAACTGGCACGAGTTCAAATCGAATATCGTCACAAAATGAGGGATTGACACATTATCATTGCGGCCATTTTCGTTGGAACAAATTAAGAAAAACATCGAAGCATTATCCGGTGCATTATCTTGCGTCTTTGTATTATCAATACTGGGAACAAATTGTGAATAATATTGTGCGTCGATAATAAAATAGTGACGGCAATTACGAAATCAATTTTAAACTCCGAAAGTGTTTGTAAATTAAATGAAACTCTGTTATCATTGCACTCCTTGGGTTGCGGTCAGTTGAGTGTCAATCAATTACAATGACCGTGACAGTAAATTGACATGATTCATGTGATTTCAATTTAATAATCCATAAACACTTCAGCTCGAGTCAGCCCAGTTTGAAGCGTTGATAAAGCGTCAAGACACTTGCAATGTTTGCAAATAGAAATGAGGATGTGATGCGCCTGTTCTCTCCTTCTCTTTCTTCTACTGTTGAATGTTTAATATTGATTTGATTTTAATAGTAAATTGCTTGCCTGATAAAAAATGTCTGGCCGTGAAAGGGTTCCGCTGCGCCAGTGCTTATGTGAATCCTTAAGCGGTTTATTTTCGTGTTCCGAATCAGCCGTTGAATTAATTAGTAACGGTTGGCTCAATGTGTATCGCATGCCGTCCGATTTGCCATTGTTTTGTGCGGTTTTCGTGCCATTTTCTGGACGTCCGTTGCAGTAATTGATGTTCAGTAGTTTGTTTGTGTCGTAGTTGTTTGTGTCATAGTTGTTTGTCGTCACAACGGCCATGCTATGGCCCACACTTTGCGAACGAATCATTTGACCATCTCCAACTTCGGAAATGACATTTACACTTGGCACGCGAACTGACGACGTTGTGCGTGGCTTACGTTTCAAATGACCGTGTCCATTCTGGTGGTTATTCGGCATAGATTCAATTTCATAGCTTGACTCCCTTTGATCTGTGTGGGAAACGACAATGAAAACCAATTGAATTGGAAAATAAATCAAAATCAAAACGTTTTAAACGTACATGTGTCCGATTGTTCGGCCGGAGCTATTTGTCGTGTCGATGCTTTTAGCGGCCTGAACATAGCTCCAAAAATTGCGCAATTCAACACGATTCCCGAGAGCACCAACAAAGTTCCTCGCCAAGTTAATTCTTGAATTAAAATGTCGATGAGCGGTGCAAAGATGAATGTCCCAAGGCCTGATCCAGCCACAGCGATTCCTATTTCCATTTCGAATGCCATAAGAAAATAATAAATTGGCTTTAATTTTTTCACTTCATTTTAAATGACAACAACAATATAAATTACCTGTTGCCACTGAGCGGTACTTTTCGAAATACGTTGTCACACTAACGATGGCCTGTTGAAAAAAACATGGGAAAACGTAATTGAATAAAAACCATCACAGATGATGAAATGTCTATTTCAATGTGTTACTTGAGTCTTCTACTTACCGGTAAGTAAATAAGCCCCAAGCCACAGCCAACTCCGAACCCTGAATCGAAATTTGAAGAAAAAAAAAATGGTTGACCGACTGTAAAGTTTTTGTGAGATATAATACAGCGCGTTCTTACCGATTGTTATGATAAGAGTGAATACGTTTTGGGCAAAGACACTAACGAGGAGACACGCCGAAGCCAATATTGCGCCGGCAATCGTTACAGCCCGGCAACCGTATTTATTCACGAATGACGATGAAATCGGACCTGTAGCGTAATCAACACCTCTTGTTACTTGAATAAATAGAATGGTGGTTTTCGGTTAATTTACCAGAGCAAAGTGTCATTCCAGACATGAGACTTAGAATCCAAGATGTATATCCTTTGCCTTCTTTGAATTCGCCCAACAGTTCAACGTACATTATACCAAATGAGTATGTTATACCATCAGCTAATAAAATTGAAGAGAAAAAAAATGCAATTCAATGAAATTGTCAGTCAGAGATGTGCAGTAGAGATATAAAAACAACGTTAAAACATCTATGTCGTGTTATTAAAACAGAATTAAATTCATTAACAAGGTTTTATTTGTTCCTTTCAATTATGGTGAACTCAATTCAAATCGAAAGTTAGATTTGAAAAAAAAGAACGAGTCATTTAATGTATAAAGATAACCAACCATAATTGGATAATAAAAAAATTGGCTAATAAATCTCAAAACAAACACGATTAAAATTCAACAAAATTGTGATCAGAACACATAGGTGGAGAATGTTATGGGGAATTTTCCTGTTTTCAACACCATTATAGATCAATAAAAATAAAACATAAAATAAAATGTGCAAACAAGTGTCAAGGTAAACTTTCAAATTTTTTTTCTGTACATCGTCTAGTGTTTATAGCGGGCAATTCATCTTGATAAATAATTAGGGAACATAATTATTGACGTTTTCAATCACATGTTTCCATCTATGTGAAACAGTTTTTTTTTTCTCGATTCGGTCGATTACAAAACGAGACGAATGTCGATACGTGTGTCATTTTTGCATTTTGCTGCAAGTGAACGTGACACGGCGCCGTAAAAGCATTTCTTCCTGTATACAGTTTCATGTGTTGAAATCATTTGTGTACCACACACAGTGGCCATTGTTTCCTGTTGTGATAATTAAATTAAAAATGATAAATGGCGAAACCGCGATAGTTGCTTCGTCACGAAAGGAATGTTGTGTTTGCGGCTAACGAGAATACAGTACAGCACAGAAATTGGGAGCACTCATGTTTAAAGATTTTATCATCATATATATGATATGCAATGAAAGCACGATATTTATTCGTTTCGAATTGATTTACAATCCAAATCCAGGTTAATCGAGGAAATAAAATACTTTCACGTCAAATATATTTCATAAATTCTGTGCAATCCGTTCCATAGAAAGAAAAGGTCGAGATATTATAGAGTAGAGTCTAGTAATAGATTTATCAATTGTGATTTTCAAATTAATCACAAATACCAAACCCAAAATAGGCTATTTTCGAATAGTTGCCCGATGATTTTGCACATGCCAACCAGCATCACCGAAAAAGGTGATAACAAATCTAAAACGTTTCCGTCACTTGAATTTAATTGAGACGTTAAAAAAACACACACACACAATTTTGTTGTCTGCTCGGCGGCAGTCGGCAATAGTGTACATAATGTTTCAATGAAAAATTGGTCCGCATGAAACATGAGATCAAGTGGACACGTGATTTTGTATTCTTTGCTAGAATCAAAGCATCGCGTGACTGTCATTAATCCGTTTAGTGAATTAAATGCCAGAAAATTCCAGTTGACTTTTTCAACTTGTAATTTTTGTTGTTCTGTCGGTTCGACATGATATAGGATGTAGTGATTCACTTACTGCGACGTATCATATTTTGTCCTTTGTTTTGAGCTTGTAATTCCATAATTAAATCGGAATTTGAAAAAATTAAAACGCGAAATGTTCCGCATTGACATTGGTTGGTGGGGGAAGTTGTAAATATTTGTGTGTATGAATTTCGACACTATAATAGATTCGTGTACAAAGTACGCGTTTGTTTGTTGCGTTCAATTTGTTGAATCATAAAATGGAAGTGCAGCTATTGTTCTACTTCAAGAACTGCTTCGATTCGGTTTATCGGTTGTCAAGTGAATTCACTGTGTGCATGTTCGTTCGCATCTTGTCATCCATCAATGCGACTTAGCTACTTTTCCCTCGAGACATTTCGTAACACCGTTTGAGATGCGGAGAATTAATTGGGTTCGATTGTTTACTCGAAGTGAATTTGTTGATTGAGTTAATAGCCAACATGTTGCGCGTCGATCGATTGCTAGTTTATAAGCCGAAAACAATACAATGCTAAGTCATTGTTTACATTCATCTTCATAGGATGAATGTGAGACTGAAAATTCTCGAAGCGCCATCAAACGAATTTCAAAATCAGAGACGCATATTGGGAGGCATTGATCTTTTTCGATTAAAAATTGAATATTGTTATTCGTTTGTTTATTAAACATGTTTACATTGTGAAAGCGACACTATTTCATTATTGTAAATAGGGCCTAAGTGATAAAATTAGAAACACATTGTAATCATAGAAAAGAAATGGTGAAACTGGATTCTTTTTTGTATCTATTTGCTACGAACATGTTTTGTAATTCATGTCAATGAATATTCATATATTTGAAATTGAAAAAAAAAAAAATATCAAACCGTATAGCAACCATGTGTTGATTCATAACGTCATGAAGAAACGCTGATAAGGAGCAATTGACGATAGAGTATGAAAATAATGTTTATGATTGATGGTGATTTTGCGTTATTTGAACCATTGCGACAAACAAATTCCCTCAGAATATTTTCGTTTTAAAGTGCAACATAAAGTTTTTTTTTTTTTCATATGGAGTTGTTGTTGTAAAGTCTATAAAAAAAAATGACATGTTGCACTTTGAAACTAGAATATTGTGAGGGAATTTGTTTGTGGCAACGGTTCATTTGATCCATTGATTACTCATCTCATTGACATTTTCTCGATCCATTCAAAGTGCAATCTTCACTTTCGTTGTAAATATTGATAGAGAAACTAATAGTCAGGCTTGACTGACTCAGCTCTGCCCAGCTGCCAGATTTCAACTTATCATGTGATAAACGAGTTGAACAATGCACACAAAAATATAAACACCCCAATTTGATTACAATTGACCTCACTGCTCAACAAAATCTGTCGCATATAAAGCAGTTGTGCAGTCGTGCTGTTTGCACATCGGACTTTTTCGCATACACATCATCGTTCATTGTGTTTCATAAAAACGAAGTCAGTAGTACTGACTCAGTACACAGACACGAGCGTGTATGTGTGTATGTATGCGCCAAACGCTCAAAGCCGAGTTCCGTACGAAGCATGGCTACAGTGATGGAATGAATTGCTAGAGAGCGTTCGGCACATAAGAAACACGATGAACGGACGATGTGTAAACAGCACGGCTGCACAAGTGCTTTCTGTGCGACGGATTCTGTTGAGTGTGCTTGTGTGAACCGTATTATCTGCCGTTTTCTGACAGTCGATCGAAATAATGAAGCAAATAAACTAGTACGTATATCACTTGAATTCGGTTCACCCCATCCCAATAAGCTAATGACTTGGCGATTGTCCGTTGCAAAAAAATGTTGTTTTCGTCGATTTTTCGGTGTTGGTTTCGTATGATTAAACGATTCGGTGTAGCAGGGGGCTTGATATTTTTTCAAGAAAATTCGATTCATGCCATGTAATCAACAAAATTTCGAAACGAATCAAAATTCAAAGCGAAATCAAAATTAATATGTGAACCATTGCATGATAGATAACCGAAAAGGAAGTTTAAAATGTCAACTTTCGAATCAAAACAGCATTGAACGCCACCATATAAAGTAAAGCTAAATCACATCGAAAAGTCGCCTTGAATTATAAATTTCTCAGCAGCAAAATTCTAACTCGATTGTGATCTTATTTACAAATAGATAAAGAAAATGCGACGATTTTTTCCCTTATTACTGTACACATCCTTGACATAACAACATCAACCGAGAGACTGACTAGCAGAGAAAGGGAATGGAGAGAGAAAAGTCATCAAAAACTTCCTATGGTTTCGCAATTTAGTATGCGTCGGAATGATGATGGCATTAGACTGAGCAGTGAGCATCAGATCGAAAAGAAAGAAAATTGTGTTTGACATGTAAATAGTGGAATACTTACTGATGATGTGAATGAGAAATGAAGCTGCTACAATCACCCATCCCCAGCCACCGTCTGGTGGCGCAGGCAGCTCATCTTCGCTATTATTGTCGTCGATGTTGTTGTTTGGTTTACGCTTCGATGGACCACCGTGTGCCATTTTCAACTGATTTTTTTCTCTATACTTTCAATGTTATTCCTACTTATTACTTCGTTCTATCTAAAACCGTTATCGTTTAGTCTCACTTTTTTTTCACTTCGTTAAAGTCGTTTTTTTTTAACCGTGTTTCTTCTAATTGACTCGTCACTTCAAACTTGTCAATTTAATTCACTTTTCATTATTGTACCTTTTTTTCTCTACCGATTCGTAATTTTTTTCTTCTCCTTTTTATAAATTGTCTACTACATCGAACCCACTGAATACACTGAATAACAACAACAAAAAAACACAAGCCTCACAAATCACGAGAGAAAATTTTCGAAATTAACGATCAAAAGAAATAATACCATCAAGCATAAATCACTGAAACCATCGTAACAGTCACGTTGCACTTTCAAACTGTGAACCAAAATCCGCTCAATGATAGACTGTGAGCGCGTGCAGATTGTTTTGTGTTTTTTGACGATAGGATGTGGAGTTGCTTTGGTGCTGCTCTACGATGTGCAGAGCATGATTGTCTATACTTGAATGAAACTGAAATTCACACACCGAAAAATTATCACTAGTCAACTCGAATCGTTTGACGTTTGTGTTCCTTTTCGTTTACGTCGATTGTGTCTTGTGCACATCGGGTCGATGCGAGTGATCGCACATTTATCGTCGCCGTCAGCAGCGGTGGCGGTGTCACCGTCGTCGTCGTCGTTAGTGCGTTTACAGCCTACAAAGTACTCGCAATCGTATACGCAGTGTGCGCTTTGCTCGATACTCACAATCGCATTCATCGATGAAGATATACACAAATGTTTCGTTAAACTTTGCACCGATACGAATCTCTCGCATCTAAAAGTTGATGAAGAATGGTGTTGTTGTGTATTCTCTCACTTTCTATGTGTTTTTCTTTGTCTTTCGGTAAGTTTGGTTGCGTTTTCAAAGCAAGGGAATGAAGGTCACTTTTAGCTAATGTAATGCGTCGATTTTGTGACACACGTTGGAACTTTCAGTGTTTTTTGCCTGTTGACGTGCTACTGAATTTTTTGTTGTATGCAATTTGTTGCGATCGATGAACACTCAGTTTCGAATACTGTGCGCAATGCGAATGAATCAGGTATATTCAATTCAAAATAAACCGTGTGCTTGTTGTTTACCCGTCACGCTATGCTTTTTTGCGCTCTCTCTCTTCTTGGATTTTGTGCGAGGTTGCTTTTTTTCAAAACACATTGTGCTTCCTTGCAATTAATCATTTACATTTGTGTGATCTAATAACAAACTGGAGTTCGTTCGTCTCTTTTTCACCCGCGCACATACACACACACTCGGTTGCGCTGTGGACGATTTATGAAAACACTTGTTTAATTTATTTACCCGCATCGCCGTTAATTGTGCGGTTTCAACGTCTCAGTTTCACTCATCAATCCTGACAACTGGTGTCGTTTTACAGGTATCTGATAAAATGAAAACAAAATCATTTTTCAACTTTCAGCATTTTTTTGTATTTTTAGCATTTAAATGAGTCACACAGATTTCTTCTCTACAAAACGAGGTAAATTATTATTAAACACATTTCAATATATATGCTCATTAAAATCGTTCAAATTGACGCGTTATCAGCTCGTGTAGCCATGATGCTCCAGTTAATTGATTCAGAATTTTTTTTTCTCTCTCTGCGATAAGCTGCCAACGATCGACTCAGTCGATTTCGTATTGACGTTTATACTCATTCAGCATTTGTATTTTGCAAGAAACAAAGAAAAAACGACGGCGATAAAAAAGCATTCATTCGTAGAAGCTATTTGGTCGCGGTGAAATGTTTCTAATTATACAGTTCATATTCGAATATCAGTCGTAATTTAATTAATTCATTTTTCCGCGAGCACAGCTCAACGTCGAGCATTTTAGACATTACAAATTTTTTAACCCGAATCGAGAAAAATAATTGAATTAGGAGCATTTGCCAGTTTTGATCAACACATTAACACACCTCGGAACATTTAAAAGTGCACGGAGGCATAGCGCAAAATCTGAAATTAATAAATGCATGGACACAAAAGCGATGCTCATGTATAAACAATGAGTTGACCTTGCTAAAGTGAGAGCGTGTGTCGAATGTGTTTCATTCCAGATTGAGATAGAGCACAATGCCCGAAGGAAAATGTACGATTTTCGTTGTTATTGTTGAAGAAAAACTGAACGAAAAACGCTTTTCTCCTGCGTCATACGTTCAATGCTTTTGTTTCACAGTTCAAAAACACAAAGCAAGTTTTTTTTTTCAAATCGTCGCGTGTCATTCGTTTCGGCATTTTTTTTTATACATTCTGCATCGAAGCCGTGAAATATAAATAATGAATGTTATTTATAGAACGCGAGCGTCTCTCTGTGTTTGTGTGCTTGGAAATTCGAAAAGAACAGCTGCCGTTCGTGCTCATGTATAATCAATGATTTGCACTGCGAAATATATCTCCATCAAAATATGGAACTTCTGTTATTTGAAGTTACTTTTTGAAATAAAATGTTTTTTTATTCGACAAAGTTTTGTTTGAGCAAACAACTGGCAAAGCAACTGGCAATGAAACTACCCATCATCGACTATTCTGAATTTTGAGTTTACAATTCTTTACTATGTTCTTCATTTGGAATTCAAATATTTCAACCAGATTATGGGCAGAAACTTTGTCTTATTAAGTTTGTTTAACTTATTTTATGCGGTTTTGTTTGATGCGGCAGGCAAGGGAATGGAACGGAATTGAACGAATCGATCTGTTGCTTCCGTGTAACAAAGTAGTAAAAATATTTGACGCAAATTGGTTGAAAAATTTATTTATCTTGGATGAACTAGCAGCATTGATCGAAAGATTTTGGTTAAAGGCATGGCTTTTGCTAAAAGGAGGATTTGATAGCTTTATTCTTCCATTCGCTTGTCCTTTATTCTTCGTATCGACTCACGTTGATGATGCCATTCGGAAGCAGGAAAATGAGATGTCACACAGTCTAAAAACACGACATTGATCTTGATTGATTTCGTTGAAACGATTGAAATCGGGTTTGCTTAAACGTGATGTAATATTCATGGCAATTTGAATAAATTGCATTGTCGCCGCCATTATTCATACTCCGAAATTGTCTTCATAACTTTTCTAATCCAGTCGAAAACCCAAATCATGTTCATCACCATGGAATTTAAGCATTTTGGTAAATGTTACAATTCCATCAGAGTCATGTAACTCCGAAAGCCTTGCTCATTTCGTCGTGTATTACATAAAGTAAGCTGATCCATTTTCCAAATTATACAGCCGTTGAATTTATTCCAGATTTACGTCGATACGAGGCGCATAATCTTCGTCAAAATTTAAATACATCAGTTTGAATTTGATGAATGGAAAATGGCGTGCGTGAGCGTTCTACAGCGTCTTCAATTTGGTTTATTTATAAATCATAGGAAAAGCGGATTTGATATGCTTCTGCGTCATTTCCACATTCAGATGGACTCACGCGTGCGTTTGATATTAATTGTGCGACACACACAGAGAGAGAGAGAGAGAGAACAGATCTTGCTGATTCATGCAACAAATGGTGTTTTATTGACATTCAGAAAAATCACATTGCTTGAACGGATGCCAAGCTCACAGAAGAGAAACATCGCAAATACATAAGCACCGCATGCAAAGCCCACGTTCAAATAAATCTCAGAGAGAGAGAGAGAGAGAGAGAGAGAGAGCAAAAAATTAGATTTCTCACGAGAAAAATAAACATCGTCGAGTTAATGTTGTTTGTATAATCGAATAGAGAAAAATTAGATCAAAGCCAACCGAAGCGAACCAGGTCGTTGGCACGTGCATAGAACAAAGACTGCAACTCAATTCTTCGATTGTTTCACGTGCACTGCGAATGAATCGTCGGGAGCGATAACAATGTAAATCCCATTAAATGAGCACTTTTCATTGAATAGACTAAAGTGAGAGCAAAATAATACGATGCGTATGGTATGGTCGTACATCTGATGCTTCGGATGGCAGCAATGTGCTTAGTTCCGAGTGATTACTCCAAGCCAAAAGCATTGTTACAGTTGTGATAACAATAGCAGCAAATGAACGAATGAGCCGAATGAAAGAAGTGAAAAAGTAAAATAAAAAACCAGGAATCTATTTACCCTTTTCTTCATGTGGATTTTTCCACCGATGCTCTACATTCGACGGTGTGTCTACTGTGTGTACCCAAGTGCACACGCGATTAGCACACAGCTGATGTGTCTCTGCGAACGACGATGGATGGAGAGACAAAGAAAAATATTGTGTTGCCGCACTTGAAATGGATGATACGAGGCGAACAACAGAGTAACGAACACAATTGATTTAGTATCCGAGAGATCGATATTTATTATTCTTGTTTGGAGCTAGTAAGCTCCTCTTTTTTTAATGTTTTTTTTTTTTTATGGAAAAAGATTCGCGAAATGTTCCGAGCAATTATGTCAAGGTTTAAATCGATAAATTGGTAGCCACCGTTTTCTAACTTTCCGTCCGTCTGTTTGCATTAATAAACACATGAAGACATATTTTTCACTTCACCACACGATTAAGATGGACATTGATACGCGAGCAATAGAGTCGTTGATTTTATTTTTCTATTCCATATATTATGAAGGGAAAAGGAACAGCAGCACAAATTTGTTATTTTTTCAACACACCATTAAACAAATCGATAGCTACAAATACAAGAGCTACGCAGATTGTTTGCGTTTATTTTGTTATTGTATTTTCTTTTTTTTTTCGTGTTCTACTACTATATCGAAAAAAAAGACGTGGTGCGTTCGTAGAAAATCTAAACTAAATGTTTTTTTTTGTTATTTATATAGGTATTTCACCTGTCAATCGTCGTTTTGACGCAAATGAAAATGAATCGTCGTTTTGACTTCGTTTTATTCTCTATTTTATTTTTTCTGTGGAGCTTCAATGATGGAGCACTCAAAATGAAAATGCTGAATAAAAATGAAAAGAAACTGCGTGCACCCCGTCTGGGGGCTATCACGCACAAAAGCACACTGAACTTTGTTGTTACGAATGCATCGTAAACCAACGAGAGCCAACCAAAAACAAAATAAGACGAACGAACAAAACAATCCAAAAACCATTCAACTCAACTCAACTCTCGCATTCGCTCTCATTCACTCTCGTTCGCTCTCTCACTGAAATCGAGCTGTATGAAATACGCGCTTGCACTGCAAAATACGGAATAAAACAAAGCGCGGCATATTTTCCATTCACCAACAACCGAACAACGCTATTTATACATTGCGCGCTCTGGCTGTGTGACACACTAAAATCCAAATGTAGGACTATATTCGTTGGCGTTTGTTAATATACAGCTGTTTTCATTGTGATGCAATTCGTGTGTGCCGATGTCTCTGTGTATTGGTACGTGCTTTGTGTTTCGGTTTCACACAGTGTGTGATTGCCATCCCAGTTAATCATCACGCTCAATTGAGAAATAGACCTGAAACTAACTTACTACCAATTATTTCAGAAGCAACTCCGCATTTTCCAATTTTTTTTTTCATCATTTTTATTGAGTTTAAAGAATTAAAATACAGTGAAATGTCCAATACTAAGGAATTGCTACCTGGGCATTTGTGTTTGCTATTCACAAAAAAGAAACTATGTGACGCTCTTTTGTGCTGGTATCTGTTTATTTATCATTATAGAGGGAAAAGGATTTTGCGCACATTGGTGCATCGCATTTGTTATTTTTGACATCTTTCCAAAATTGTGTTGACAACCATCAATTTGTTCTACATACTTTGTAAATGATTGTTCGTGCTGCAATTGCAACTGAATTAATATTTATAGCTTTAGCCTTGAGTTTTACTGTGTAAACAACAATGAAGAAGCGAAAAAAAAGAAAATAAATCAAATGAAATGTTGCGAGACATTAAAGGAATGTGAATGCCATTGTTTTGTCGGGCAGCGACGAGTTTTCCATTTTGACAGTACGGAAATGTGTGGCGTCTCCATTTGTTGAAGGAAAATCTCTCAAAATCTTTCAAAAGCTGTTATGATGCGGGAAATACGAAATAAATCGATTCCAAAATAAATCAATTGAATTCATTTCTGTTTATGATTGAAACTTTATTTTCGGTTTGTTTTGTTGACAACAACAACAAAACAACCAATTACATTTTGTACGTGCTCTATACGGTTATAAAATAAATGACAATTAAAAAGAAAAATTGAATTATTCGATAGCATAATAATTTTGCTGATAATAATCAAGCAATTTCTTTTTCTCAAATTGTTCAGTAAAATTTTTGTTTATTGTTGCACATTTGTACGGCACTTGAACTAAATCAACGGAATCAGTTTTCATTATAAAAGAAAACAAACTTTGTTTAAATGAACGAAATGGTTGTTCATAAAAGTTGAAGTTAAAAAATCTTGTTTGGCAAATAAAACTAATTCTTTTTTTTTTGTTTAAAACTACAATAAAATTGCAAAAAGGACGAATTTCGATGAATTTTGGTACTGGTAATTGAAAGAGAATGAATTTCAATTGTACATTCCAGCGACATAGTGAGATGTAATCAGAATGATAATGATCAAAGCCACTAATTTGTTTGAAATGTGGTGCATTAATTGGTAACACCTATGGTTGAATGCTAAAATCTAAGGGACATGCTTCTCATCAAGTATCACAACATCAGTTTTATTTTTAAAATTAAACAATTTTTGTGTGTTTTTTTTGGCTGAAAATGGAAAGAGAAGAAGTTGTCCTAAATTAATAGAGCTTAAATTCAAAACATAATCCCAACAATTGACACATTTTCGACATATATATGCACAAGCACATGGAAATGAGTACGAAGAGAAGCTGTTTCGATGTGTATGGTGCATTAGCTGATTGTTATCAGTTAGATTGGACTTTGAGGTATATATTATCATGATAATTGAAAGATTTAGGTTTCTTCTACTCGCGTCAAGCCATCATCAATATAAATAATTACTTTTTGTTACCCTTCACTTCCTTTGTCCGCATCTCCGCATTTCCAAATATGTGTGTGTGTGTGTGTGTTTAAACCCTTTACACATACACACACAAATCAATTCTTTTAACTCTCTCTCTCTTTCTCTTCCTTTTTTTTTTCTCCCTCCCTCCCTCTAACCGAAAATCTTTTGAAGAAAAGTGTGTGTTTCGGGTTTGGTTAAAATACGTTTGCGATTTGGATGGTAGTTTTGATATTCAGGATTGGAATTTGTGAAATCAGCATGATGTGCTGTAGCGTTGCTCCCATCAGTATGTTTATGCGAATCCTGTTTGTGGTGCTGCTGTTCTGCTTTATGCTGATGCTTATCGCTGGTAACGGCTGAATTACTGCGTTTCGCTACTTCCAAATGATGTGGTTCGGTAACCGTTTCGTTAATCGATTGAGTTGCTGCTTCGCTTGGTTTGGCTGTTGAACTGGTAGCAGCATCGAATGAGCTTGCGGAAGTATTTTCAGCAATCACCGTTGCCTCGCTGGAATTTGCTATTTCCAAAACAGAATTCGTATGGTTTGGCTGCGTCAAATCAGCCGAAGATTTTGCGGTGGTCGGGACATGATACATTATTTCACCACCGAATTTTGGAGCATGTGGACGCATTCCGATATTGGTTTTTGCAGGTTCTTGAGGTACTTGAATTGAAGTTGTTGTTATTGTTGAAATCGTGGTAGATTCTTCGGTTGTGTTTGGCGCAACGTTTGTTGGAATGCTTGAAGATGTTTCGACACCTGAACTGATTGTTGTCAACTCGTTTGCGGTTGTTGGCACTTGTGCGTGTTGCGTAGAAGATGTCTGATTATCTTGATGGTTTGGCTCGAGTGAGGTACTAAGAACGGTTACAGTTGTTGCCTCCTGCTCAACAGTTGTTATTGTTGGTGGTGGTGGTGGTGTTGGCGTTGAGTTTTGATGTTGTAACTCATGTTGTACCAACAGCATTGGCGGTATGAAATGATCGCGTGTTATTTCCTTGTGCGGCGCATGAACTACCTCAGATTCGGTCTTGATGTTCGATTCGGTGGTTGTGGCGGAAATGTTGTGTTTGACAGGATTTTCCGTTTCACGTCTGCTGCGAACTTCAACCGTCGTTTGCTGAATTTCCACCACGCTTTTTGCTGTTGTCGTAATTTCCTCCGACTTCGTCGAATCATCATCATTTACAACTTTTTCGACACCATCGGCAGCGATGGCAGTGGCCGGAACTGGTTGATCGCCCATCATTAAATCATCTTTATTTTCATTTTTTGCCTTTCGCATTTGTTTCGGTTGGTTTTTCAATGGCTTTTCCGATGCAATCTTCTTCGTATTTTTCACCGGTTTTACTTCATCAACTTCTTGTGACTCGGCAATTGGAGCGTCGCCCATCATAACATCATCCAAACTGTATTTGTCGCCCACTTTATCAACCGAAGCCTCGATTTGATTGGCAATTTTGTCAATGTTATTGTTTTCAGAGTTATCTGATTGAGACGCTTCTTCGACATTTTCAGACGGCAGCTCTTCGGCCTCCGCCGCTGCTATTGCTGCAGCTGCAGCAGCAGCAGCCCTCATTTCATTGTCGCTTGTAATGGTCTCGCGTTCCAATAGACACATCAACTCACGCTGTATAAAGTCCTGATCCTGTTTGCCATTGCATGTCAATTTTTTTATTCCCTCTGCACCACAATCGCGCGACAATTCAATCGTTGCACTGTCAGCGATATATTGAATTGTGAGCGCGGGTAATGCACGAATCAAGCATTCCGTGGCCCAATCGGGCGCTAAAAATAGAATAAATGCATTTTTCTTGTATGATTCCGTTTAATTCAATCGAATATGCAAATTAGTATCACATTGTATGCGAAATACAAACCTTCCATCTCGCACAAGAATGCAGCCACATCTGGGCCACCGCAGCGTAAGCTATGCCAACGATAGTCACGCATTGGGTCAACAACCGCACATAATGGTGAATCAATAGCCGGAATTTGTTCAGCCCAATAACCGAATTCTCTGTCTAAAATTTTCGAATTCCTAAATTGACCAAAAAAAAAAAACGCAGATACAGTGAGAGACAAACGAAAACAATTAGCGCGAAACAACTCAATCCATCACAAGAAAGCTTAACTTACGACCACATAAAACGGTCCGAATTCTGCGAACGCATCAATCCAATCCATACGTTTTCAGTGACATTCAAATCACTCAAAAATGCTCGGCTCGCATCGTACTTGACACCATTATCAACTGAAAGCAAATGCCAAACAGCGGAGAGAGAGAGAGAGAGAGAGAAAGAATAACAAAAAAACACACGAATTAATTAATGAAATGAAAAACCTGCATCATTCATCGCACAAATTGAATTATTGATGTGGGTTCAATTGAAAATGATGATATCGGATGCATCATCTATACGTGATGTAGCATAAGATATGGATGGACGAACGAACGAACGAACGAATGCGAATCACGGTAAAAAAGAGAATGCAATAAAATTGCCGATGCATAAAATCGTATAGCGGCAAATTGGTATGCAAATAAACGGAGATTGTTGTATCAATATATAAAACGGTGACGACGACAATGCACACACATACACAGCACATATTTCCATCCGAAAAATCAAATATTGATTTTATCATTTTCATTAAGCTTAATAAGCGAATGCATTGCAAAATAAATAATTACTTGAAATTTCTAGTCCAATGAACAATACGAATTTTGTTTAGTGCAAAATGGAATTCATTTCGCAATTGCCACTCATTCACGGAATCACGAAATTGCAAAATGCAATTTTAAATGAATCATAAGTTTGAATAAATGATGCCCATTTGCAGATGAACTGGACATTCAATTTCATGAAATGCTGATGTTTTTTAATTTTCTGCTGAAATTGCAAAGTTTATTTCATTACGTTGGCTCTCTTCTTTTTCGCTCTCTTCCATTCACATTCGTGTTTTTTGCAATTGCGAAGCCATTTCAGGTGTGTGGATGTTCAATTTACGAATTGTATGTCGCGTTGCTTTTTTCTATACCTTTTTTTTCTGGCTCAGTAATAAATGAATTGCCAAAGCAATTTTCATTTGTGATAAAGTGATTTAAAAATTTGGGGAGAAGTTTACGTTATCAGCATTCATGAGTGGTACTCATCAAGTGGGAGTACGGGCGGCAATGGAAGAGAAATGTTGTAGAAGTGGTTTTCCTCCAAATTTATGCAAAGTATCCTCTCATTAAGTTATCACAAACACGATTCGTTGGAGAGCTTGCGACGGTAACGGTAATTAACTGCGAGATTGTGCGTGCTCAAATAGGTGTACATTGTATATTGATAAAACATTTCTGTACAGATACGTATCTATTGGACAGGCCAAGTGAAAATAGCCATGATAAATGAAAAAAAAGTTTAAAAAAAAAACTTACTATACCTGTAACTAAGTTGGCGTGATGAAATTGGCAAACAGCATCTGCTTCGTACCAGGAGATTTTATCGCGAAAAAATCGATAGAATACAGTGAAGCCGTCTTGTGGTAGAGTCCATGTGTTGCTGATGTTCATTTGCTACATGCGAATATGAACAATATCAAGTTTTAAATTAGTTTAAACTCACAGCGGGCGCATACACACAACAACTTTTGATATAAGTATGAAATGTGTGCACTGAAACTAGGGAAAACTGCGTACGTGGTGCGAGACGATGGCTATTTTTCCCATTCATATTCACATTTTTTTTTGCCCATCTTGGCTCCAAGAGACGAGAGAAAAACTTCCTTAAACACAATATTTTCGTAATTTATTATACATGCACACACAGTTAGAATGGGTATAACAGGCCTCATTTTGAACATCATAAATTTTAAATGAATTAATTTTTGCTCGGCTACTGCCTGCCATAACACCAAACACATAGCCAACCGAAAGTGAGTGACAATGTGGAAAATGGTAACGCGCTAGGTTTTATGAGCCTCGGGTAATCTGCTTAGCAGAATTAAATTGGATGGAACCTACTGGACGATAAAAAGTATCCCTCGTTTTGCAAAACAGTACACTACTCTCTCTCTTCGTACATTGTTCGTTGGTTGGTAAAACCAGGCACATTGGCATAGGCAATAGCCATAGCCATAGCCATAGCAATGGTAATAATAACAGCATCTGGCCGAAGCGCACTAACTACATGTGAAGTCTATTTTTAGATGCATTTAGTATTTTATTGGTAGAAAAAACATTATCCGATCGTCGGTCGGCTTAAAAGCAATATGAAAAGTGAACATTGTGTTCAACTCTCGTTCTCTCTTAGTCTCCAGTGTCCAGAGCATTGGCGAAAAAAAGGAGAACAAGTTCAATTTTATGGACAGTTTCTCTCTACTTACAATCACTTGAGGTCTAATAATCGACTGAAATATCCAGGGCACATTGCAACATTGCAACACATCAACCATACAGATTAGATAGCCAAAGATTCGGTATGCTCTGCATCTATAAGTATTTCCGATGGCGATGGCGATGGCGAAGCGAACATTGAAACACAGTGATACACTGTATATATTTTCTATATTATGTGCATGGGCTATTTTCGTCATCCCCCATCGTTGCACGTGTAGTTGTAACACTGTATGCTCATTGCTTGGTTGGTTGACCGAAGATTTAAATTCTATTTTAATACCATGCCCATGCATCTCAATTTCATAATACAGCCGATGGTTACACAACTCAATTTGTATGCCCAATGGTGAAAATATCTCATCAAACCCAATTTGACATTTTGGCTGCATTTTTGAAGCATTGGCAAAATGTTCTTTGATCAACACAACACATCCAGTCGGAATGTCGACAAGTTCTATTTTTGGTAACCGGGATGTGAGAGAGAGAGAGAGAGAGAGAGCAAGTGGATCCATTTCTCATGCGCTTACCTCAATGTTTCTTGTATGCGGTACTTTCTTTTCTTATGAACCACAGGAAAATTGAACATCAATCAATGACATGCACACATACAACTCTCAAAAATCAATTTAAAACCAGGTAAACAAACAGTTTTCTATGTTTGTACTTTTGCACGTTCCTGAATGCAGTGGAACGACGCTCACGGCAATACAACTTAACGTTTCGCAAACAAATGTATGTATTCGCTTTCTCTCTCTCTCTCTCGCTTTCTCTCTCTCTCTCTCTCTTTCTCCTTCATTTTCTATCAAAAACTTGGGAATATGAGAACAGACAAAAAGGCACGTTCCGTTTGGTCGCTCATGTTATGCTATGTTTTTTCTCACTCCACACTCCACGTACATACAGGGAGAGTCGGTAAAATTTACTTCGCAAATATTCAAGTGGAATTTGGGTAAAATTTGTTTTATTCATCTTGAAGTTGCAAAATAAATTAGAGCTTTTGACGCAATGCCATGTTGAAAGGGCCAAACCGTGGACCTGTGTGTGTGTGTGTGTATGTGGGGAATAGTTGCGGGAAAACTTCTATTCGGCAATTATTTCACAATGCCTTGCAATTTGTGTTGAACAATAATAATAAAAACGGAACCGTCATATCGCCGGAAATGTGATTTTATTGCTTATGTTTGCGTGCAAAAATTGCAGCGGATAAATATCAGGATGGAAAGAAAATGAAGAAATCTCATCTTTGGCGAAAAGATGTGCCAATTTTATGCGGCAAATGGGAATAATAGCCGAAAAAGAATGAATGGTGAAAAAATGACCCCATTTTATCAACCCTATTCTTGTGCTGGCTGTTTTGCAGTTCGCACATACGAGAGAGTGAGTGAGTAAGCGAGAGAGAGAGAGAGAGAGAGAGAGAGAGAGAGAGAGTGAAGCAAGAACCTTCGAGAAGTTTATTTACATTCGGTTCTCATGAAGTGTAGTATCCAATTTTATTACGTGTTCAAGTTTTTACCACACCACACACTCTGTGCCGCTATGCGAGCGAGTGCGATACATGTTTAAGACGCTCAAACTCTTTCTTCTTTTTTTTATTTCTTGATCGTCTGTGGAAAGAAGCAAAAGTTGCTGGTGCAAAACATAAAAAGTGAAAAATAAAATCGGAATGGAATCGCACAGTACAAAAGGCAAACAAATGGAGAAGGGTAACTTGTAATTGCACATTATTGAAAGAATTTCCTTTATGCTTTTCACCAAGATCCTAGCTCAGTATTTTCACATGAAATTCTCCCCAACTTCGTTGAGGGAGAAAGAGAGAGAGCGAGCGACGCAAGAGGGAGAGATGTGAACAATACAAACATTTGCATGAATAATGCAAATGAAGATTTTTGATTAAAATTGTTTAATTAAATTTGGCTCCATTCTCTTCACGGCGGTCACCACTGGAATTTTCAGCTCAATTGAGTCTCGGTGAGTTCTTCTTCGTCCAATTCGATACGCCCCACAATTTAGTAATTTTACGGAATGGGAAAAATGGACGGGAAAAACTTTTACGTTAGTATTATATAAACTTAATAAGACCAACCGCAGCGCAATTTCTGATAAAACATTGCTGTTTCTTAATAGGGCAGAGATTGAGCTCTTCGTTATTTTGCTTTTGTTTAAATACCACAATGAATTCTACCCATTTATTTCCTAATTTTAATAAGTATGTTGATTAACACTACTATGATTACTATGACGAAACCTTTTTCAGGCGAATAGCTCATAGTTTTCAAAATTGCGAGACAGACAGACAGCGTAAGAGGCAGAGAGAGAGAGAGTGTGTGTAAGGGAGGAGGTTCAACGTGAATACATTTAAAAGCTTTTTAAAAATATGTTGTTTGATGGAAAAGAGTTGGTCGCTCGAATGACTTTTTAAACCATTTATCTTTTGCTCTGTTTTCAAAGTTTTCAAGCCAATTTAATTAATGGGATTAAAAAAGCATTTGAAGAGAATTACAAAAGCAATGACTTTCGTTCAGCGCATTAAAATTTCATTAAACAACGCCAGCCAGCCATTCAGCTCAGATAGATAGATGTTCTAGCTCGATGCGTTCAACCCATTTTCCGAATTCGTATGTGCGTCGCATATATGTATATTCGATCTAAATGCTGCAATATTCAAATCGTTATCGAGAAATATATCAAACAAAATCACATTTTGGATTCAAAAAGGGTTGTTCAGTATCAAACGCTCGTTACAGCACATATCATTGAATAGCATTGTGTTTATCAGGACGAAATGGGTGGGAAAAAAATGAAAACAACACATAGTCATAAATTCAAATTGAGCTTAAACTTATTGTGCAAACGATTCAATTTCAAATTATCTTCTGTGGCATGAATATGAATGCAAACAAACACATGTAGACACACAACCGAGTCAGAGATTGAGAGCGTCGTTCAGCACAACTGAATCCTTTCACACACACACACACACACACACAAAACGGCTTTTAATAAATGCAAATGCGCTGATTTTGAATATTGTGATTACATGCTTTTTGGGTTAAACAAATGGAAATGACGGCAAGCAGGTACAGGGATTTGCAATTAACATTATCTCTTGACTTACATGACTTTTACAATGCGAAGCCAACAACATGGTTCCAACAATTGCCAGGAGGCATATTTTCCTGTTCCTCGGCTGCATCATCACTGATAATAAACTGGTGTATGTACGGGCTTTCACTCGTTTTTGTTGGCACACGTCGTCTCTCTTTCAATGTTGCAAATTTTTTTTTTGTACTGATTCTACTTCCACCGCTTCTGTTGTTGTTGTCGTCGTCGCTTTATATATATATGTTACACCTTCTGACTGAAACGTTCTCGTCGTCGTCGCGGTTGTTGTAGTCAAACACAGCCAATGTGAAATGAAAACAATGACTTTTTTATTCTCTTGTGAAAAGTGAAAACTATCTTTTGTTCACGATTATTCTCGTCTTTTTTGACGCGTATTTTGCTTCCAGCGAATTTATTGCGTTGGAAAATCTCAACGAACGATAAAACCGAAGAGAGAGAAAAAAAAAATTATAAAATATACAGCCACCTGAATTAGTAATGACTATTCATATAAACGCGGGTCGGTTGGCTTTGGTAGCGTGACACACACGAGTAACACTCCTTGATTCTGACTGTGGGAAAAATGTGCTCTCTACGGTGCGACCGATTCGGTGAAAACAAGAAGTTGTTTTGAAAGCATTTTCACAAATGCGTGTTCTCATATACCATTCAAGGATGAAATATTCGCGTAAAAAAATCTCAGCGCAATCGCATTTTCCAGCTTTTGTATAACCAACAAAATTGCATAGCAAAAAAGCAGTTAGAACAGCAACAGCAAGCAGAGAGCCACGAGAAGTGGATAGATGCTGATTCAAAATATACACAGTTGAATGATGATACAAATTCACCACACCCAAACATCCATTCACCTCAACTGTTTTTTTTTTTTACATTGACAGACGCTTGACTTTGACGTTTCGGACACGTGTGTTTACTTCTAAACAATACCATCAAAACCTTACTTTTGGACAATTACTGTAAGCATGAGCATGGAAGTTGATCCGATAGTTCCTGAAACGATTCAGGCGCGATTTGTGTCGGAAAGTGGTGAAGAAGCTGGGCCACCATTGGATTTACCGACATCAGTGAATATCTCACAGTTGGGCCGAATATGCAATGCCATTCTCCAAAATGTAAGTGTCGAAATTTCTGTGTGTTTGTTTGTGAACCGATTGTGAAATCAACAAGTTTAAATGAAAAACCAAATTTTCATCGTTTTCAGGAGGACCCATTGAATTATTTATTTTTCATAAACGACAAAGAAGTTGCAAATTCGTTGGAGAAAACATTGGATTTCAAAACCTTTGATCATGAAGCTGTTGTCAATATTGTTTATCAGCCGCAAGCGGAATTCGTTGTGAGAACTGTAACACGATGTACGTCATCGATGCCGGGTCATGCCGAAGCGGTTGTATCCATTCAATTCAGCCCAGATGGAAGACAATTAGCTAGTGGTTCGGGTGATACAACGATTCGACTGTGGGACTTGACGACTGAAACACCTCTTTATACATGCACCGGGCACAAACAATGGGTTTTATGTGTATCTTGGGCACCAGATGGAAAGAAATTGGCAAGCTCCTGTAAAAGTGGTGAAATTCGGATATGGGATCCGGAAACGGGCAAGCAAATCGGCAAACCAATGTCTGGTCACAAAAAATGGATCAATTGCTTGAGCTGGGAACCATACCATTTGAATGCGTCATGTCGACGTATTGCTAGCGCCGGCTGTGATGGTGATATTCGCATCTGGGATGTACTCTTGTCACAGTGCATTCGAGTTTTAACCAGCCACACGAATGCTGTCACTTCTGTTCGATGGGGCGGTTAAGGTTTGCCTTACACCTCATCCAAAGATAGAACCATCAAAATGTGGAGAGCCGAAGATGGTGTTTTGTGCCGAACAATGACCGGCCATGCCCATTGGGTTAACAACTTGACGCTGAACACAGATTACGTACTACGTGCCGGACCATTCTATTTGGGCGTACATGATGATGATAAAATTTCGAAAGCAAGACAAAGTAAGACCATTCAATTTTCAAAGTAACACATTTTCTAAATTTTTCTTCTCGTCTCTACAGAAAATAAGAAGACCGCACTTGAACGATACAAAGAAGTGTGCCCCAATGATGTTGAATCACTCGTCTCCTGTTCAGATGATTTCACTCTTTACCTGTGGAATTCCGACAAATCCAAGTTCATCACTCGGATGACTGGCCATCAAAATGTGGTTAACGATGTGAAATATTCACCAGATGTCAAGTAATTACTTTAGTTTTTCACACGTTTTTTTCAAACACAACTAAAATTCATCACAAACAAACGAATCAAATTCAAATCAAACCGAAATTCTTCATTTTCAGACTAATTGCATCCGCATCATTCGATAAATCAGTTCGTTTGTGGCGTGCATCAGACGGTCATTTTATCTGTACATTCCGTGGTCATGTGCAGGCTGTTTACTCGGTGGCCTGGTCAGCAGATTCTCGTTTATTGGTTACAGGAAGCAAAGATTCAACATTGAAAGGTAAACACTTACCCATATCGCTTGTATTTTTATTTATCTTATCGGTTGAATAACTGATTTTCCATTCAAAAGTGACATTCACTCCAAATTAATATCCATTTTTTGTTCATTTTCTATAGTCTGGAGTGTCAAAGACAAGAAGCTGAAACAAGAATTGCCCGGACACGCCGATGAGGTATTCGCACTAGATTGGGCTCTGGATGGAAGCCGTGTTGCGTCAGGTGGAAAAGATAAAGTTGTGAAAATGTATGCAGATCGAATGATTCTCTTATTTATTCATATTTTATTTTGATCGATATAGTACAAAAAGAAAACTCTAATTTCATCTTAATCTTATTTCTATTTTCAGCTGGGCTTACTAACAAAATGTAATTAATGTATTTGTTTATTGATTTTCAAATAAATCGCACGTTTATCTTCAGAAACAAAATGAAATGTGTTTTAATGTGTCTATTATCTATTTATTGAAGAATGTGACATCATCGGCAACGATCGATGTGGTTGTTCGAATGTTTCCTTCCTTATCTCGGATTTCTCCATAAGAAATTCGACCGAATAGCAACACGCGTTGTCCTCTTGTTAGGTAGTTTTTAATGTTTTCCCGGAGGTTCGGATTGAACACAGCGACTTGATGCCAATCGGTGCGTTAACCCCAGTCACCGTTCTCAAGTCTGGAAATCAAATTAAAACATTATTACAAGAACATCAATTGCAACAAATATTTGTATGAGATAAATCGAATCACGAGTGTTCGCTTCGCGGTTCAATGAAATATAGAAATTACTTGTAATTGGTGTGTGTTGCCAATGAGAATGTCATAACGGGTGATTCTTCATTGCCTCGCAATTGTGGATCGGTTCCAACACGGCCCAGCAAAGTCACCTTGTTGATTGCTGCAGATGAAAAACAATACAAATTACACGCACATTCTAACCTCAAACTGAGTGGCCGCTAAACTTACTCTTTTCCAAACGTTTCGGAACATCATCTGAGAATCTGGCAACGCTTGCAGCATTCGTTACCTTTAGGCTGTTTGCCAAAGTGCCAATCAATTGTGACTTTCGAACTAAATTGAACATTTTTATCAATTTTTGCGGTAGTGTGCAACAAAACAGCTTCTTTCTCTGGTGAAATAAAAGTTTGCGTCAGATGAATACCGTGACAATGACAGCCAATCAACGGAGTGAAGTTACTTGCATGTCACAGCACATGATGGAATTTATTCGCACTAACATTTCCAAAGTGACAACAAAAACATATGATTGCTGGTTTATATGTTCATTTCAAAGGCGATTGCATTTGGTTGATATTTTAAAAGTGGAAATAGATAACAAGTGAATGAAATAATTCGCAATAGTCGCAATAGCCATAGTTACAAGTTTACATGTCGAAACTTCATATATTTGGACGTTATCAACTGTGATGACATGACCAGACACTAAATCACACACACACACACACAACTACAAACAAACGAAAAAAAACCTTGTTATTTGTTTCTGTTTGTTGCCGAAGTGTCAAATCATCAAAGAAGAACACTAATAATATAATTGATTCATTGGCATTTTTGTGCCAGTAAATATGAAAATTGATTATGTTTTTTTTGCAGGTAGTTTTAAGTGGCATGTTCGTAAGTGCAGCTCCATTTTGTGTTGATATATTTTTTCTACTCAGTGGCACTTTAACCAGTTTAACGATATTGAAGCAGCTGAAACGAACGTATGTATTACAACCATATTTTGTTATAATAGAAGCAAATTGGAGACTCTATTGTCCATTACTTTAATACTTTTTTCTAATGTTTAATTTGATTTATATATAAATCAAATATAATTATAGAGATATGTCCAGTGAATATATTCTCATAACATAATATTTGTTCATAACCGTTACGAGCTATTTTGATTTTGTGACTATCACTCCAGTGGACCATAATGAAAAAATCGTGGAACTGCTAAGTCTATGACAAAAATTTTATTGTTTTTGATGAAAATGTGTCACAAACTCAACAGTTTCATGATTTTTTCATTATGGTCCACTGGAGTGATAGTCACAAAATCAAAATAGCTCGTAACGGTTATGAACAAATATTATGTTATGAGAATGTATCCACTGGATATGTCGGAATGTTTTGTTGTTTATCAACCGTCCCTCGATTTAAAAATTTAACTAAAGCGATACATGCTAAATGACACTTGTTTATTTGGATTTCAATTAGGAACGGCAAATTGAATTTAGCTTCACTCTATTTACATCGGATTCTGAGGTTAATTCCATTGTTAGCTGGAACAATCTTGTTTATGGTTTCGTTGCTCCGATTCTGTGGAAGCGGCCCAGTGTGGTATGTCTTCTATTTAAATTTACATTTGAAACGTCAAAAGCTGTGAAAGATTTGGATTTTTACAAACCTAATATGGGTCCGTGAATTTACTACAGGTACGAATCAGACTCATATCGAACCGACTGCGAGTCGAATTGGAGGTCAACATTGTTACACATTCAGAATTATTTGAATACAGATTCATACAATCATAATATGTGTATTGGACAGTCATGGTACCTAGCCGCCGATTTTCATCTATTTTTAATCGCTCCATTCTTCGCTTATTTGCTACGAAAGTATGAATGGAAAATGGTTCCCGTCATAGTTGTTTTGCTAGCATGCGGAGTTTTGTTGTTGGTGTTTTCATGGCCATTGAATAGCACGAATCCGTAAGATAATTTCCGACGTGTTATTTTATTAAACAATCATCAAAATATTTGGTACGACGATATCTAAAAATTAACCGAATTTCCATATTCGATCAAACCGTTATAAACATGCAGTTACGATCAGCCACTCATTTGCGATACTCGCCATATTTGATTGGGCTCTTTCTTGGATTCATTTTCTTCAAGAATCGCGGGAAAAAAGTGAACTTATCGAGAGTAAGCTAATCACTAAATCATTGTGTCTGTTCTCTTGTTTCATTCATCCTATTTTTATTTTAGACGTGGAACGCATTCGCGTGGTCAATGTCGATTGTCATCATATTACTGACGATTTTTGGTCATTATCCGTTTCGTCAGCAGGACATTGACACGTCGCCAATTCACTTTGTACTGTTCTTATCGTTTGGCCGAATATTATGGACCGTTGCGATTGGTTGGATTCTGTTCGCATGTCATTTCGGCTACGGAGGACCAGTCAATACGGTTCTCTCAATGCCGCTCTGGAGTCCTCTCTCCAAGCTTACCTACGCCATTTACATCACCCATGATTTTGTCATAGAGATGATAATGGCAAGTGGCCGTTTTCCACTATATTTCACAAGAGTTTCAATGGTAAGTTCAGACATTTTACTTACAAATTAATTGGATAATAATTTTTTTCGATTTGCTTAGTTCTACTCGATTGTTGGAAACTATGGTCTCAGTGTGTTGGTTGGTTTGGTGTTCTTCGTCATGTTTGAGAGTCCTGTCTACGCACTCGAACCACATATTATGAGAATTCTACTTCCAGCAAAGCGCCAGCCAAAGGATAAAACAGCCACCTGAGAAAGAACGGATAACTTTTGAGCTTGAAAACAGTATTTAGATTTTTCCTAAAATTATGATTTGATAGACCGTTAGTTAGAAACAAATAAAACCAAGATGTTTGGAATATACATTATGTTTTGCATTTTTATTTGGACAGAGTTATGTTATCAATTGCACCTAATAGAAAAAACCTTAAAATATGGGGTCTGACTTGTTCAAAGTAGTACTTTTTAAAATCCACCGGATTTTTTTTCTTCAAATGAATCAGCTGCAACGGTGAGACCATGTCTGTACTAGTATTAGAAATTATTTGATTATTATTAGTAGATTGGATACAATAGAAACATACAGATAGTTTTTGTCTGAGAAGACTCTTTCACCAAGACTCTAACGTCAAAAAATGCATATTTGAGATTTTTTTTGAACAAAAGTTTAAGAATTTATTTTTTAAGAATTGAAATAGAACCAATCGAACTTGAGGCCAGAAATATATGAAAATGTCACTCGACTTGATCATATCAGTACTCAAAATGTTCGTGACGGATCACACTTGAAGTTCATTGGCAGCAGAAGTACAAATTGTTTGGTTAGTGAAGTGATTTAGCCATGAAACTTAAGCTTGTAGTCATGATTTGCTCATTTTTGTATGAAATGATCGTATTTTCCGACACCAAAATCAATAAATATGCAACAAATGAAACTGAAAATCAAATTCTCGTCGAAAATTTGGCAGATATAGGCATATTTTTGTGGGTATTTTGGATATAATTTGATTTTTAGCCGACAAATGGGAAAAAATTGCCAAATTTCAGAAGACTTTCCAATATTTGTTGCTGCATCGATGTCTAGAGGCACATTTTGAGGTTATGACGTTATGGCGTTATGTCGATAGCTCGAAACAAATTGAGTGTGGTATTTTTAAATTTCATTTTAGCGAACTGAAAACCATTTGTTATTCAAAATCGATCACCCCTACTGCCCACACTAATAAAGAAAATTGATTTTTCATGTTGCTGTATCCTGAATCCGGATCCACGAATTCTATGCGGTCAAATCATGTGGATGACACCTCACTCAATTGGAGGATGCTGATTGAACAAACAAAAGCAAGGCATGCCCAAACTCCGGCCATCCAAACTGGACCGAGGAAACCCTCATTTCAATCTAATATTACTAGACTGGCGAGTTATTTTCCTTACATTTTTAATTTATTGAAATGATGATACCCATCTCTGATGTTCACCTATTTATTTATTGTAATTTTAGACTCAATCTGTGTTACTGCCATTTCGAATTGGCGAATAATTATGTTTTAATTTTTGTGATCAAGTCAGAATTTTGTATCAAACAGCAGCAATGCCCTAGTTACGCTTCAAACCATATTTCATGATTAACTCAAAGCACTCTGCAATCAATACGGATTTGCCTTAATCGACGTAAAACTTCACGTCAATTTATCTACCGGATATAAATTGAGCGACGACTTTTGATGTCCCAAAGTCTCTCGGACGTGTAAACTTAAACGCTTCACATAGCCTTTTTTCCTTTGAACACGTTCACCAAATGTTATCTTGGACCATTTTCCCTCTTGAATACTATCAAGCATATCTTGGTTATATGACTATGTTTCGTTCTTCATGCTTATTTTGTCAATAGGATAACATGTATTTACATTGTTTCTAAAAGACCCTGGCTGTTAACGAGGCAAGATCGATAGTTTTTATAAAAAAAATAAAAATTTTGTAGGGGTAAGGAAGTAATTGAAATATATCAACCTTTAAATAAAGACAAAGCTTAGGTCCTTTATCAGAAATTTGTTTTCGCCATGGTATTATCGGATTAAAACTGAAATATAACTCATTGATAAAAGGCATAATGTGCGTAAGCAAAGTTATACAAAATAGATATTATCTTATCTTTTCATATTTGCTAAGATAAATTATCTGATTCTGTCGGCTGCGAGTGTGCCCGATCAAATCCTTTAAATAGCGTTTGCTCAACGGTTTTCTATGTAGTGTTATTGAAAAGGTACCTGTTGTACCTGAAAACACTTGGTTCAATTTAGATCAGCTATACTCAGTCCGCGACTGTATAATCATCGAACATTTTTTAACGGATGTGATCATCAATTAAGAAAATGGTGTCGATTTCGAGTTTAATTTTGGTGTTGGCAGTTCAATCAGTGCAGTTGGTGCAAGGTGTATACCAAATCAGTCAATTCAAATATGAAATCTTCGAACGAGATCGGCTTGATTCTTTTCGAGCATTCGAAACTCAAAATCTCGACGAAATCTTTTTCTCAAGTGATTATACGAAAGCTCCTAGCCATTATAACACCAGCAAATGTATTGATGACCTATTGAGTATTCAAAATAATCTTCAAAATGGTGATAAAGAATCGATGATGTGTAAGATTGACTCTGGTTTTGGATAAATCAACATTTCAATTCTCTCGTGTTGTTTTCAATTTGATTTTAAAAAAATTCTCTTTCACAAAAGTGCTCGACGCATGGGGCGACGTACCGTCCGGGCTGTTTGCTAATAATTTCAATGATTATGATGCTTACGACGAGTGTTTGAATGTTCAAATCGAAAGTGAAAATGCAGATACAGAGGCGATTAAAGGGCAATATTGTCTAATAGATTTCAATTACATGAACTTACCTCATGGTATTCTCCAAAAAAGTGAGACAAGTTTCTCCCGTCTATACAAATCGATTTATCAACGTGAACCTTTTCAGGGCACCGATCACCATTGGAATATGTATGCCTGAATCATGTTCGCCACAACTTTTCGAGTCCATGTTGAACAGAGTGGCCAGTGCGAATGAGACGCTCTTCCGACTACCATACAAAAGATGTCAACTCAAAGATGATTACGCGACCTATACGGTGACAGACAAAATTGCGATGTATGTAAAAAAAGAAATTTCCAGTTGTTGTTTTACTTCAAAATAAGTATATTTCATTTATTTATTTGAAGTTCGATATTCACGATGATTCTTGGTCTCATAATCGCGAGCACGATTTATGACGGTGTGTGTTTTTCCAGACAAGGTGGGTTTTATCAAATTTCGGAAGAGGAATCAAAAGATTAGGCAGATAATGAATGATTAATATTTACTCAAAACAAAAATCTACTTCAGTGCAGGCAAATAAGACGCTATTAGCGTTCTCCGTGCACAGTAACTGCAAAAAGTGGCTATCGTTCGAACAATCAACAAACCCAGATGTGATTGGATGCATGAATGGAATTCGTGTGGTATTTTAACATTTTTGCATGCATTTTTGTTGATTTTAAACCAGTGAATAAAATATTTAATTAATCGACATGCGTTTTTGAGCGAAAAGCTATCTAGGTTATGGAATCTTGTTCTACATACGTGGCAACGATACATGACTGTAAAACGCGATATAAATGTTGTGTTGTTTGGGGTATAATTGATTCATTGGCATTTTTGTGCCAGTAAATATGAAAATTGATTATGTTTTTTTTGCAGGTAGTTTTAAGTGGCATGTTCGTAAGTGCAGCTCCATTTTGTGTTGATATATTTTTTCTACTCAGTGGCACTTTAACCAGTTTAACGATATTGAAGCAGCTGAAACGAACGTATGTATTACAACTATATTTTGTTATAATACAAGCAAATTGGAGACTCCATTGTCCTTTACTTTAATACTTTTTTCTAATGTTTAATTAGATAATTATAGAGATATGTCGGAATGTTTTGTTGTTTATCAACCGTACCTCGATTTGATAAAAATTTAACTAAAGCGATACGTCCTAAATGACACTTGTTAATTTGGATTTCAATTAGGAACGGCAAATTGAATTTAGCTTCACTCTATTTACATCGGATTCTGAGGTTAATTCCATTGTTAGCTGGGACAATCTTGTTTATGGTTTCGTTGCTTCGATTCTGTGGAAGCGGCCCAGTGTGGTATGTCTTCTATTTAAATTTACATTTGAAACGTCAAAAGCTGTGAAAGATTTGGATTTTTACAAACCTAATATCCGTGAATTTACTACAGGTACGAATCAGACTCATATCGAACCGACTGCGAGGCAAATTGATATTAGTTTGGTTCATTTTGTCCATTTTGCTTAGTTCTATTGGATCGTTGGTAATTATGGCCTGAGTGTGTTGGTTGGTTTGGTATTCTTCCTCATGTTTGAGAGTCCCGTCTACGCACTAGAGCCACATATTATGAGAATTCTACTCCCAGCAAAGCGACAGCCAAAAGATAAAACAACCGCCTAGGAAATTATAACAAAGGCTGATTTACAAGAGACTTAGCTCAATCATAAATAGTACTTAGCTTTTTCTTAAATCATAATTTGATAAAATGTTGGTTGTAAATGAAAAATAAATTAAGATGTTTACAACACGCATCACGTTTTGTATATTTCATCGCAAAGAGTTTATTTAATAATAACCAGTATGTACCGGATCAGGACACGTGTACTTGTAAGCCAGGAGTGGTAAATTAAATACATTGAGGGTAGTAGATTGGGAATTTGCACATATGTGACACTACTTTCAAAGAAATTCTAGATCCGGCAGATGATATGTAACTTCCAATTTGTTTAAATTAAAAGGCTTAATAGTTGTTTGAGGAATGTATTTCTGTTTGAAATTTGGCTGAAATTTACGATTAAATAAAAAATAATACAATTTTCTCAAGCTTGCGATGGAACATCTCGGGAAACATTTTCACCCAAGTATTTATTATCACCACAAAAGACCATTTTGCCACCATTATCGTATACTTGATGTAACAATGAGTCCATATTTAGTTCGGAGCTACCCAAATTTAAGACAACATCAATGAAATTTGGTATCGTCCCAGTAGTCATTGCCTATAACATTCAACGGTGGAATTGAAACTTGAAAATTTGACACTTGAATATACAAACATTGTAGTCGAAATATTACCTTAATTCTTGGCATCGTCACCGTCGGCACTTCGACATTTAGGTTCACCATGCACGCAGTGCCATCGTTAATCATTTTATTGAGATATTTCATTGAGGTGTTCTGTTGATTGTAGAGAAAATCAGTGCGTATCGCATCGATGACCATGAGTACCGTTCGCGACACATGACGCCGATAGATTGATTTATTGAGTCTGTAACAAAAGGTTATCTTTTAGATATGTCAAATCAAGTCAGCCACACTCATTTCACTTACGGAATATCATCGATAAAGTCGGGCAAATCGTATGACTCGGCCCTTTCATTGCTGGTGTAGCTAAGAGGGAAAAACCCGCACAAGAATAACGTAGCACCAACCAGAATTGCGAACACAAGCAAGAGCTCATACACAAAATCCATTGCAAGAATGGACAAATAGCTAGAGTAGATAAGAGATTATTTATTTTTAAAGAAAATAGAAAGAAGAGAAAAAAAAGCGAATGCAAATCGAAGTAACAGAGTTTTAATGATTAAATTGTTTACATTGACAACGAACCAATTTCGATGGATTTTTCATTGTGCTGATATCAAGTGGCCGCAAATGGATTTTGCTTCTTTCATTGTTTATTCGATTTAAATGCGATAATTTCAATTGGATTTTGCTTACGGAATCACTTTATGTTTATATGTCTGGCTCACACCAAGACTGGCCCAGAGATAAATGAATTTTACTATGAATATTGACGTGAATGCCATTTGTGAACGCACCCATCGGTTCAGTTTTCAATGTCACCTCTCTCGCTCTTTCTGTTAATGAAACGTCACAGTATTTCTTCATTTCAAATGGGACGCTGTACTTTTTGTTAATACTGAAGTAAAGAAAATACGAAATATAAAATTCTTAGGAAATTAAAAAGATAAATCGGTGAATTTGTGCTCTCACTTCTTGTTATTCGTGTACGTGAATTTTTTTTACAAAAACAACAACCAAATACAAATATTTTTACGAGTAACCATAACGTTGGATCCCCAAGATTGTGACTGCTCAAAACATTTCATTTATGTGATTTTTGTCCACGAATTAAGTGCTACAAGTACGATTTTTGCAATTATTTGAAATTCCATATTAGATTTTAGTGATAGAAATAGATTTTAATACCCGTTTGAAAGACTGACATTAAGCGATCTGTATTCCCGCTATTTCGCTCTATGCCATACAAAGCAAACACAACACACACAATACTGTTTGTAGTGTTCGTATTCATATTTAACTGCTTCTTAAATTGTTTTGACTAGTTTCATGAAATAAATTTGCCTTGGAGAACCCAATTTGTTTATTTGAAATAAAAAGCGAATCCAGGTCTCTGTTTTAACCAATTACTTTAATGAATTGTACCGACGTTTCGAATCTTGATAATTTTTCGAATTCATTAACGTAATTGGTTAAAACAGAGACCTGGATTGGCTTTTTATTTCAAATTTCAATTTCTACCGGTCGGTAGAATTCAGCAAATTTATTTATATTGAAATTTTTTTCAATTCTGCTGTCAGAAATAACAAAACGGCATTTGCCTTATACCCCGCAAAATTTATATTGCGAAGTTCTCGGTATCGGTATTTCATCGATGAACGGAATTTGTACAAAGTGTCGCTTTGATTTTGGATACTTTTTCAAGCGTTTTAAGCGTGAATTTTCACAATAGTGTATTCATACCCAGTTATAATAGAGCGTCCCAGCGTCACTCAAAATGATATCAGTCTTTTTGAGTGTTAAATCCACGCACATGAGCGTCACTCTGTTTTAACCTCGTCTAGAGGTTTTTCCTCTGATATTATTTCGGGAGCACTTTAACATTAGGGTGGTAACGGAAAACGGTAGAAAATGCCGGAAATCAATTCAGACTCCCAATAAAATCTTTTTTTTTCTCAATATTTTATAGTTTCATTAACTCGTTAAACAACTGTCTTTGTTTTTATTTCAGCTGGATCATAAATTTTACTGTGTGAATCATCATGGACGTTGAAATTCCGCCAGCACAAGATTCGCCAAAGCATATTCTGAATATCTTAAATGACGACTGTATTCAATCAGTCCTTCGACGGTTGGATAATATACGAGATTTTCTAAGTGCAGCAGAAACATGCGTTCGGTTCCAGGAGAATGCGAAGTTAGTCTTTCGCACACAATACAAAACCGCCCGCATCCGCCAATTTTATAACTATGGTTTCCGAAAGTTATATTGTAGCCACGACGTGATAGTTCGGATACATAGTTTCCTAAGCATTTTCGGGCACTTGATCACGGAACTTGACTTCGATGATAATTTAGACGATGATATGACAAACATGATTGCAAAATATTGTGGAAGAACATTGAGGATATTCAAATGTGGGAATAAAAAGACTAAGTGCTTCTCGTCGGTTAACTTTAGCCAACTACCCCGATTAGAATCGTTGGAAGAACTGAAAATACGCAACATCAACATTCACAGTTTTCAATATCACTCACAGTTGAGGAGATTGTCCGTCAAGGGAATTCATGAGCATAAGTCCAAAATGAATTTCGACTGGCTTTTTAAAACATTTCCGAATTTGGAATTTGTTAAATTGGATGGACTCGATAAATTGACATGTAATCAGGCCATCAAATTCTTTAAATTGAATCCACAGTTGAAGAGTCTGCACATTCGCTATTGTGAGCACTTTGCTCCCCGAATGTTCAAAAATATGACAAATTTTACACCGAATCTCGAGAAATTTGTTTTTGAACAAATAGATTCAATATATGAAAATGAATATTTGGTACACGTGAGCCGATTACAGAAACTAAAATCTTTGGGCATTGAAACATATGTGCCGATTCCGTTGGGAAGATTGATAGATTCTCTCATTGAGAAAAATGTTCCAATAGAAAATTTGTTGCTTTTGAGTCATTATCATCAGACACCATATGAGAGTATTTCGCAATTGAAACTACTGAAAAAACTCTATCTTAGAGGAATAACAGATAAAACTTTCATTCATTATGTTAAAAATCTGCCTAAATTAGAAGTGTTGTTCTTTGATGAATCAGAAATAACTGTAAATGGTATAAAGGCTGCTTTGCAATATGCACAAAGCTTATCGGTTCTTGTCGTAGAGGTGCATAATAGGGATAGAATCTCTACAGCAATAGACTTGGATGAATATAAATCGATTTTAAATTTAGCCAAGTCACGTGGAGTTAAAGTGACAATCTATGTTCGATCTGGTGCAATCGATGTTCCAACCGACTTTTTTGAGGATAATCGTGAATGGGTGAATGTCAAAGTTGGTGTATTGCACATCAATACTATTGTGCGCCATTTCAATGAATAGAGAAAACGGACAGTATCCTGGTGAAGAAAGTGTTTTTATTTGTCGTCGAATATATTCCTTGTATTTGTGTATTCTTCTATGAACATCTAATGTACTATCCTAAGATAGATGTATTTATTGAATACATTTCAGGCATGAACAAAATAAAGTATGAAACTATCATAAGAAACGTGTTAATTGTTTTCTTCAAATTCAATCCTCTGACGATGAAAGATATACATACATTCGGACATGAAAAAAATGTTTTATGTTAACCAGAAAGAGTGACATTAAACGATTAAAAAAATTTGAAAAATGGTCAGTTGCGAAAAAAAGAATCAAAGCATGGCTGCTATTCAAATTCCGCATTCAATCCAATCATTTATTCCATTTTTAATACGGAATTTCGTGAGGCGTTCAAACGAATTTTAACGACGAAAAATTCATGGTGCTGCTCACAGGATTTGGGTAATGTGCATCCGCGCAACAGTGATCGCTACGTAACTGATTATGCGGCAAAAACTGTCATCCATTCGAGATCATCCGCTGATATTGAGCAAGTGTCTGCGATTTGACCGCACAACGACATCAACGGGTAAATGGGCTATTTGTAAGACGTGAATTTCAAACTCAAGCCACTCAAAACACACAAAAAGACAGAAAAAGAATGAAATAAAAGCAAGAAGCAAACAAGCAAATAAACAAACAAACAAACAGACAAAGCAACAAAGAAGAAGAACAAGAAAAATAACGCACACAAAACCCATTGGACAAATGGGCTATGTGGCTCATGTAATTACTACAAAACCAAATGAAATGTGAATGAAAGAATTTATTTGTTTAGGATACCGAATAGAAAAAAAAACTGCTTAGAATAAACTAACAACATCCAGTCGGAATTTCGACAAGTTCTATTTTTGGTAACCGGGATGTGAGAGAGAGAGAGAGAGAGCGAGTGGATCCATTTCTCATGCGCTTACCTCAATGTTTCTTGTATGCGGTACTTTCTTTTCTTATGAACCACAGGAAAATTGAACATCAATCAATGACATGCACACATACAACTCTCAAAAATCAATTTAAAACCAGGTAAACAAACAGTTTTCTATGTTTGTACTTTTGCACGTCTCTGAATGCAGTGGAACGACGCTCACGGCAATACAACTTAACGTTTCGCAAACAAATGTATGTATTCGCTTTCTCTCTCTCTCTCTCTCTTTCTCCTTCATTTTCTATCAAAAACTTGGGAATATGAGAACAGACAAAAAGGCACGTTCCGTTTGGTCGCTCATGTTATGCTATGTTTTTTCTCACTCCACACTCCACGTACATACAGGTAGAGTCGGTAAAATTTACTTCGCAAATATTCAAGTGGAATTTGGGTAAAATTTGTTTTATTCATCTTGAAGTTGCAAAATAAATTAGAGCTTTTGACGCAATGCCATGTTGAAAGGGCCAAACCGTGGAC